TAACACAAGTCTCATTAAGTGTCCAGTTTAAGGGTATTACACAGAAATACACCACAGGAACATGAATCAAATGTGTACTTTATTCATTTACAATAAATTCATAAAATACATATTTCTGATTGAAGCTAAGAGCATACAATTATCTAACAGATGGAGCATTGAACTATTTATCAACCAATTCCCAAAAACTTCATGGCAGTTGAAAGACACCGGTGAATGAAAAACTGGCCTTAGTCACTTTGAGCAACCATTAAACTATTTGTTGTAACAATTGCGATATAGTGACAAATCGTGACTGTTCTGCTAGTTTAGCCCAAGTAACCCTAATTCAGATTCTTGTAAACATATATTTCATCTCCTTTTGAAGAGAATTGAATTTATTCTCTGTAGTTGAGACGCATTTAATTTTTCTTTTCCCGTTATAGCCTTTTTTTCATTGTTTTTTCTTGTTTGGGCAGAAACAAATGCAGGGCCAGGGAGAGACCCAACTGAATGTTATTTTATCTTTGTATTGCATCCAATACCATAAATAGAGATGCAAGTTTTTCATCTAAACTGAATTCAATTTAATTGTCGGTCTGAAACTCCTCTCCACCATTTTTAATAACGTTTCTATAGTTCTGGACCTTCTGCTGCTACAAAAAATGGGAAAAAAGAAAAATTATTCGATGCAGCAAAACTTCTTTTCCTTGCTAGCATTACAATGCGATTAAGGGGTGTGGGCAGAGTAAGAAACACGTGAGGTCGACTAATTTTTTAGGTATTGATCAACCAAGGCCCAAAAACTTCTTAGCAGTTGAAACAAACTAGCAAACAGAAAATCAGTCGTAGTAAAAAATATTGCTAGCTTCTCTCATTTTGCGGGAGCATGGATATGCAGAAATAGGGATAAGAGGTTGATCTGCAGCTGCATCCTTCAATACAGAGACGTCAACAGAGACAAATGAAGAGACAGAACCAACAATATGGAGTACTCGGGGAGCTGAGACTAAAGAGGCCTATCAAAGGAAGAAACCAATAATAAATTGACATGAAAGCTTGACAAAGTGTATGGCTACACAGAAGATAACGGAATGGACAAAGAAACTATTCCACTGTTTTGAGATTTTGAAAAATTAACAGTCCTTTTGATGACTCAGTTACAAATATTTTTAATAGGGGAGGTCTTAGTCTAGAAATTTGAAGGGAGGTTTAAGTTTTCACCCTAATAAATAAATGTTTCCAAAATTTTCTATAAATGTTTTATATTTCTACATCTACAAAAAATATTTTATTTATTTTTAATATGATAAATATTCCATATTAGAGATGTATTCAAATGTTTTCTATAAGTTTTGTATTTTTAATTATAATTTATATGTTTTCATCTTTTTTTAATTTTTGTTATTATTTAATTATAACATTTAAAATTTTCATATTTGGTCCAAAAGGTTTAATCGTTGATTCATCACCAAAACAACTCCATTTTATTTTTATGATCAATAAAATTAAATATTCTTTATCAACTTATTTTTCTTTAATATGATTAATCGATATAGGATTCAATTAAAAAATGGGAATTAATACCTTAAATATAAGATTTAACGAGAGAGGATCGAACGGGGAGAAATATAATGGTTCAAATTATATTTTGTGCCTTCACAATTAGAGAGTGACCAAATTTAAAAATAGAGGTATTCTAGTCAAGAATAAAATTCAATGAATTTTAATGGGTATTAAGGCTTTACATGAGTGATTTGATGGAGGAAAGTGATTGTTCAAATTATACTTTTATCCTTACAATTAAATATGGACCAAATTCAAAAATTGGAATATTTTAGTCAAATAAAAATTTCACATGAGGCTAGTACAGCCCAAAGTTGTAGCCCTGCCTGTTCGTATCATCCCCTGTTCGGTATAGAAAAATCGAATGAGCTTTACCACATCAAATTAAAGACCAAACTGCTATGTTAAAAGTTTCCATTTCAATTTCGTTTTGTTCGGAAAACTTGCTGGGTTTCATTATCAATTATCAGAAAGGTCACGTCATAAAATTCGTGGCAGACCGCCATTTGCTTAATTTTATCTACTAATAAAACCAACCTACCCACCCGGACTCTGGATGCTCGTCATCTAATGAATCTTCTCCCTGCAAAAGCAGCCATTGAATTTCTAAGTTTCCAATAGAAAAGATTAGAAAAAGATAGAGATACGTTGAGTTGATTTCTAAACACAAGCCCATTGAGGCCAGGCCGTTGGTGTTGACATAATCTCCATCTCACTCGTTGGAGAACCTTGCAGCTACTTGGACGATGCGATTGCAATTGAGTCTTTCCAAGCATTCAGGAAAGGGATTCTGGTGTACGTCTGCATCTGCCGGAAACAGCTACTTTCCTGGAACAGCATCGAATGTAGCTCCTTGGATTCTCACAGTAGTTGCTGCCAGCACTGTGGGTCGAGAATTCAGTAAAGTGGCCACTCTCGGGAATTCATCAGAAATCACCAAAGTAATTGAATTAGAAACATCCACCTCTCATGAACAGATTTTCACTATAGCTAGCTAGTGTCACCCACTGATTTTGCGCATCTGTAATTTATGAAAACTTATCTTGGTCCATTTAATTGGTAGGGTTACTCGTTGAACCCACTGAAGATGGACGTACGGATTTCATGGCGTACACGTAATAGCTGGGAATGCTGCAGCTGCTCCTGGTCTGGTGTTCCAGCAAAGAATGCAAGGTGGGATGGTAATTGGAAGATCGATCATTACATGCAACCATTTGATTCATTTTACTTGTAGTCTCAATTTTATTTAATTCTTCTAATTGATTAATGTTGAATACATACATAATTTTTTTTTATCAGCTATTCCAAGAATAACACGCTCATCAAAGGAAAGATAGTGATTTGCAACGTTGAGACAATTAGTAGAAGAGATTGGAGTGGACAAAAGCTTCTTTATAGGACAAGGGGGCGGTGCTGGCATGGCAAATACAAGCCCAGTTTTTCATCCATGCGATGCTAATTGAGTAACTTCTCCCGCGCGTAGCTGAAGCAAATACATCACCATGGCATGTATTTGCTGTATTAAAAGAAACCCAACTGCAAAAATCTCGCCCACAGTGACATGGTTCATAACACAAGACCTGCACCAGTTACGTTGTTGCTGTGTTCGTCACTACTGTACTATTTCTATCTTTACACCTGAATATGGTCAAGCCTAATTGGTCTGGCCCAAGCCTACTTTACGTCATCTCTGATCTCTCTCTCTGATTCTGTTTCTTTTAATTAGTTGAATAGAAAATACTTTACGTGCTCCTATACTGATAATTAAAAACCAAAGTTGTTATTGGCAGCCTGGTATTACAGCGCCGGAAGTGAATATATTGGCCGCATGGTCTCCTGTAGCAGTCCAAATCCCCGGTGGGCAATCAGTTAACTACTAGTACTACGAGATCATCTCTGGCACCTCCATGTCCTGTCCTCATGTTTCAGCTGTTGCAGCTATTACTTATTAAATCCCTCAACCCCACATGCATGGAGCCCATCCATAATAAAATCTGCAATCATGACAACAGGCTAGCCTTCTTTCATTTTGAGGAAGATTCATTCATCTAATCTCTCTCTCTCTCTCTCTCTATATATATATATATATATATCACCCAATTTATACTATATTACCCTTTTGTCTCAATTACCAAACCTTTGGAATGTGACTGATCAATAATAATGATGCCCATTTCTAGCTATATACTTCCAACTTCCAATTCAAATAAAATGTATGCCCTCCTTCCTCCTAAACAACCTCAGTTATAAAGAAGGATTCTGATTGTTACTAAAAAATAAATAAGAGGGTTCTGAAAAGGTGTAGTATGATCAGTAAGAGCACATCAGTGTATCTCATCACCATCTAGATGAGGATTAGCTTTGGTGTCTAGGATTAGGGCTGCATTATGGGCGGTCTGGGCTGGGTTTAACGTCAACCTAGGCCCAACCATATTGGGCCTAAGGTCCAAGCCCAGACCTTGACATACTTGGATTGAGCCCGGATCAGCCAATCAAATCATCTCTTTGTGTCTGGATTTGCTGCTCACAGAGCGCACCTCACACTAACCTCACGGTGCTATCAGTCGTGCATTGAGAACATTTTCAGTACTTGATTTTGCCATTCATGAGTAGATGTTCCCAATACATGGGTGTGATGTACTGTGAGAACATTTTCAGTACTTGATTTTGCCATTCATGAGTAGATGYTCCCAATACATGGGTGTGATGTACTGTGAGGCGAGCAAATCTGATTTTAACCAATTCGACTCAAACCCATCCTTCCACGGTTCCATCCTTCCTACTCAGACCACTGGACTAGACATGGCAAACTATTCAAACCAAATGATGCCTTCCTCGGCTTCCTCTACCTCTCCCATGAATTCTCTTTGAACCTCTGCTTCCCTTTGAATTTTGAACCATCTTATCCACGTAAAAATCTATGAGTTTCCTTAGTTTCCTACTCCCTAGAAGACCCCACAACTGTAACACTCACTCCACATCTCCCTCAACTATCTCATCCCCATTACATACCAAGACAAGATTCCTTTGATTTCCTCCGCCTTCCGTCTTCCAAGTTCCAACTTTTTGAAAATCTCTTTTGCCTCTCTTCGGTTTTCCCTACCTACACAAAACAGACCCAATTTTTTACTCATTTGCATATCTCATGGCATCCTCTGCCCAACACACGCTCGTTTTCCTCCTCCCCTCCTAATGAGTAATGAATCCGTGTTCTGTGTTAGAATCCATTGGGCCTAGCGGCCCACTCTTTTCTAGGGCCGAAAGCCCTTCTAAGTCTATCCCAAACAGAACTATAGGAACCTCCAGTTGTATGATGTGTCAGACCCATAAAGCGTTATTTTTATTTTGCCAATGACCCTTTTTCTTCTTGAAGAACCAGAAATCCATCAATGACAAAAGTTACTAGTGAGATGGATTCGCTCTTGGAAGATGCATATGGATCACATCGAGTGGGCCTATTAGAAGGTATCCATTAACTAACCAATGAAGATATTAGTTTGAGAGGGCATGTTATGTTAGGGATGACTGTTATAATAAGGTCCACGAAATACACCATTTCAGTGTATCTCAATCTAATAGACTAGGATTAGGATTAACTTTGGTGGTTAGGATGAGATTAAGATTAAGATTAAGATATAGGAGAGGTTGTTCTTATTTGAGTTGAAGGTTCTTTTTAATTACATCTCTTATAATCATGGTTTAATTGCATGAATGTAGAATGCAATCACTCAATTCTCTTTTTATAACAGTTTATTTATAAAAGCCTAGATGATTCTCAGTCAACACCTTTTGGATTTGGAGCCGGGCATATAAACCCAATTGGAGCACTCAATCCTGGACTAGTTTTTGAGTTTGATGTTGATGATCTCATCCACTTTCTCTGCAGTAATGGTGCAACAACTAAACAACTCATGGTGCTCACAGGGAAGAATATCACTTGCAAAGTACCATCGATTCCCTCCTACAATCTCAACTAGTCCATCGATTGGTGTAGCAAATATAAATGGAAGCGTCTCAATTACTCGAACAGTGACTTACTATGGTCCAACAGTTTATTTTGCCCATATACAGAAGCCAAGAGGTGTGGGAGTTGTTGTTAGACCTCAAGCACTCACCTTTGGTTATGTTGGTGAAAGCAAGTCTTTCACGCTGGATTTTATGCCATATTAGCACACTGATGGAAGCTTTGTATTTGGAGCCTTAATATGGATCAATGGAGTTCACAGTGTTAGAAGTCCTATTGGTGTTAGTGTGCTTTCAATATGGATACAAGTATTTAAGCTATATATCCATGATTGATGTAAGTTTTACCTTATCTTTACCACCATATATTGTCAAGAATAAAGTGTCAGCTTACTTGTTGAAAAACGCTAAGAAACCTGTTAGTCTATGTTGTCCAATTGTTAGTTATCTTATTATGGCAAGATCCAAATAGTCTCTATGGAAAACCTTTCTAGTGTACAAGTTACAGTTACAGCCTCTACTCTAATCTCAAATTCACCACTACTTGTGTGAGGGCCAGGATGGGCCCGGTCTGCCCGGTCTGGGTTCCAGGCCTGAATCCGTGCATTTGGATTCAATGTCATAAAATATTAAATGCATATAATATTTTATACTATATGTAAGGATATATAAGTAACATTAAGAGGTATAAATAATGTAAAGATAAACATGGGTCAGAGTCAGACCTGGCCCTTGGGCTGGACATGAACACAAAACCTAGGCCCAAGTCTGGAATGTCCAGGCCCAGCTTGAAGAAGCATAGCATCTAAAATCCCAGACGGGATGCAAACAAAGATTAAAAAAAAAAAATCCTTAAGACACATCAAAGTAATAATTCAGTATAGACACCGGCTTTGATTATGCAAAAGGAAGACAATCATCATCCGATGGAAGGTCATCTTCAAGTTCAAAGAAAGTTTATGAAACTGCAAAATGATTACAGAACATGGTCTATTCATCCCACCTAACGAATGGACCATTCTGTTTTTTATTCTGACTGTAAACCAAACGGATTCTAAATTTCTAATATCTTGAACAACACGAATGACTGGAAAACCCAATCCAATGGCAAATATCTGAATAGTCATCGTCTTTTTATATGATTTTCTTCAAAGGAACCGAATGTTACAACTCATGACATCATACATCAAAGTATCTTATCTTGTATTAACTACAATCTTATGATTTGCTAACCAGCCGCCTGCTGAATTAGTTGAATTCACTTTTTTTTTTTTTTTTTTTTGGTATTATAATTAGTAGGTAGAATAATGATATGAGTCAACATATGGGACTAACATCATGGTTTTTGAACCACACTTGATCCGAACGGTTGGACTGTTCTGCCCAGAAACTGTTTTGGCAACCGATTGTGTTTCACCCCTAAATCACTCCTTTGCCAAAAATTATTAACTTGGTCAACAACCAATGGATCTGGATGGTTGAACCATCTGCCCTTTTGACCCGTATAGTGGTTTTAACCATTTTTATTTTAATTTACAACGAATCGTCCATTTGGATGGGATGGTCAAGCCACTGATCCGTTAGAAACCGGTGACTAAAACGGTTCCAGTTTCAGATCCGTTAATAGGCATTCCAAATGCGTTTCGGCAATTAACGACTCTCTCCCTACTAATGGCATCAGAGCCTGTTTGACCAGATGGTCTAGTGTTTAATATGGATGGGCCTATACTTGTCCACAGTTCAAGCTTCATGTGAGGTGGTAAAGCCAAAGTAGAGAATAAATATATTGGGCTCCATTATTTGCAACTGAATCTATCGTTCGCATTTTCCTTCCTTGCATCAAAAACATTTRTTGTTTCACAAGTCCGGATGATGCTTTATAGATGGTTTATGGAAGATGCTTTTGACTTCCCCTTTCACATTTGTTTTCATCTGGTGAATCCATCAAACATGACCTGCAAAATACTTTTAAAACCCCCCTAAATTGGAGGAGTAGGGCATTTTCATTTTTTCTCCTTTTTTGGTTAAGTTATTTATTGGCTTCAGAGAATTAGTCTTTGAGCATGAACATTGTCCGTTCCTTCTAGATCGACAGTGTTAATAAGACAAGCAAAAAATATAAGCATTATCATATTAAGAAGAATTAATCAAGATTAGGACAAGAGATTCTTTAAATTTTCTGGTAGAAGACTTTTACCATTTCACCAAATATACCTGCTCCACGTCCACACCATGCCCTTATTTTATTTGTCTGAAAACAAATGAAAACCGTCTTGTTTGAAAACCAAAAACGTGTGTGTGTAMGTGTGTTTTCTTTTCAAAACCAACAACGTGTTTGTAAATTTCCGATTTTTTGGAGCATGTTTTCAGCTTATTATCTATACTACAAAAGTATGTTTTCGGTTTTTAAAAACAAAAACAGTTCAAGAATGTGTTTTTGTTTATTTTGCTGATGTGACAATTTAAAAAATAAATAAATGAAATCTATAAAATGAAACTCTGACAAACCAATGCGCTGTAACGACTTGACTTGGAAATGGGTGCATATACAATGACATCAGAAAAGAAAAAAGAAAATTAAGTTCTAAATACACACACACACATGCTTAAGAAATTGTCTATCGCCACCAAATGGAATTATATATGAATGTGGATACGACAAACGCTTGTGGAAATGGGTTGTCAAAGTGTGAAAGTTTCAAATCACGAGGTTATAAAATAGGACTACCATGAACTTCATGATCAATACCAAGGATCAGCACTTCTACTAGTATTAGCTTCCCTTTCTTTCTCTTGTTTGATGATTCTACCCCTTCAATTGAAATAATGAGAGTTGCCATAGTTATCCTTCTTACGTTCGTTGGGTTTTTTCTGACACATGGATCCAGCACCACCACCTTCAAGGTAAGGCTGATAGCTTGCTACAAGATGAGAGAGAATGAGAGAGATGAATGTAATTTTTCAAAGATTTCATTTTCAGTAATTAATTAGGGTCCGTGTGGTGTGGTTTAAAGTTAGAATYTGAATCAGAATTGAAATTTCTCGGAATCAAAATGGGAATAATCTATTCCCATAATCTATTTGGTTCAGAGAGGAATGAGAATAAGAATTAGAATCAAGTGGAATAAAATTCATTTCCAAGAAAGGGAAAGGAAATGACCCTTAGAATTGGAATTGAAATGCTCCATTCCCATTCTACCCAATCAAACAGTTGGAATCGGAATGCTCCATTCCGGTTCTGATTCCAGAGATCCCACTAAACTGACACTTAGAGTCATCGCTCAATTTAATCGAAACCTTATATTATTTTTACACTAGTGTGTTTATAATGACTGCAGCACTATATAGTTTACATGGGTGATCATTCACACCCGGACTCGGACTCTGTGATCAGGGCCAACCATGACTTGCTCGCTTCAGTTATCGGCTGCAGGTAGCCTTGCGTGAATTCCCACTTATCTTGTGAAATGGGTTTCAAATTTTCAACCCCGGCCCTTCTCATAGAAAAGAAAACAAGCAGAGTTAAGAAGATATTGAGCAACTACTTCTAATATATTAGAAGGTCCATTAACATATTCCCATCTTTTTTTTTTTTTTTTTTTTTTCTCAAGTATTGATGAGGCACAACGGGCAGCAGTTCACCATTACACTAAGAGCTTCAAAGGTTTCTCTGCCATGCTTACCGCAGAACAAGCACAGCAACTTTCTGGTACACTTTGTGGCTTGATTGATGTTATCTAGATGTTCAATGCATATATAATTACGTACACAAGTAGAGACTGAAAATGAATCTGTAAAATACCTTTTCTCCACTTACAAGTCTTCACTAATTGATGATATTGCAGAGGATGAATCAGTTATTTCTGTCTTCGAAAGTAGCACAGCTCGAGCCCAAACCACACATTCATGGGAATTTTTAGGAATTGATTCTATTTATCAGTATAACCGATTGCCTATTGACACCAAATCTGATATAATAATAGGTGTCGTCGACACTGGTAAGGGTTAAATTTGTTTGTTTATATTTGTATCCCTTAATTATCTAAACCAATATTAGTAGTTGCATCATCGTTATCATCTAAAATGATATCATTGGTTTTCAGTAAACAGTGGGAAACTGCTCATTTTCTTTTTCCATTGCTTGGCAGGAATTTGGCCTGAATCGAAGAGCTTCAGTGACAAAGGATTAGGACCTGTACCCAAGAGATTCAAGGGAGAGTGTGTTACTGGTGAAAATTTTACAGAGTCCAATTGCAACAGGTACATCCAAATGGGCCTAATGTAGGGATGCAAATGCATTGGATGATATTAGAATCAGGGTATATCTAAATCTGATATAATACTATAAACTGTAGATTCGATTTGATCCGAAGATCCAATTGGATCTTATAAATATTGACTCAAATCTGAACCTGTTAAGGATGTAATCTGATCCAATCCAATTTAATTTTTAAAGAATTTAATAAATTATTAAAAGGAAAAGAAAATATATCAGTTTATATAAAAATAGAAAATACAAGTATTCTTTCAACTATTTTCATTATATATACATATATATATATATATATATATATATATATATAACAGGAGTTATTTGAATTTGATCCAAGTTTTGATCAAATCCTATTATCTGATCGGATCTAAAATTCGGAAAGGGATATTCAAATCTGACAAAATAGGATCAGATATTTGCACCCATAGCCTTCTCAGTGCTCTCTCAATTCATCTTGCTACTAGAAAGGCTTAGAGGTTATATTTATACTGATCTTCCCTCAGCTCTTCCACCTTTCAACAAGAATGGCATCCAAAGGCCCAAGCTTTCATTTGAGTTCTGGATTGTAACGAAATGAAGGTTTGGTCGGTTTTGTAATATGCAGGAAAATAATAGGTGCCCGGTACTATTCGAAAGGATTTGAAGCACAAAACGGACCTCTTGAATCTTTCGACCAACCTTTCTATCGGTCAGCTCGTGATGCCGATGGGCATGGCACCCACACTGCCTCTACAGCTTCTGGATCGGTGGTGCGAAATGTTAGCTTGTATGGGAAGATAGCCTCAGGCGTTGCCAGGGGAGGTGCCCCCAGCGCTAGGCTGGCCATATACAAAGCACTCTGGTTCAATAGTGCTGACGCAGCAGACGTTCTTTTGGCAATAGATGATGCCATTAATGATGGCGTCGACATCATCTCTCTCTCACTTAGCTTTCCAGCTTCCACCTACTTCGAAGATCCGGTCTCTATCGGAGGTTTCCATGCATTCAGGAAAGGGATTCTTGTTTCAGCGTCAGCTGGAAACAACTATTTACCTGGAACTGTTGCCAATGTGGCCCCATGGATCCTCACTGTTGCAGCGAGCTCCATTGATAGAGATTTCAGCTCTAACGTGTATCTTGGAAATTCAAAGATGTTAAAGGTATAGATTATATCGTCTGAGGCCATATCTCTAGCTAATTAACTTCAATATCCCCGTCTCAGTCGGCTCCTAATTAAGGATCGAAAATATCTTACTACATTCCTTTGATCAATTTCAGGGTTACTCGTTAAACCCATTGAAGATGGATGGGTTTTATGGTGTGATAAATGCGAGGTAAATATTGGTTACGGATATCGATGCATATATATATACATAGAATTGGTGTTATCGCTTTCAGAAAACTTGAAATTAATTCAATGGTGAAACCATGCATCCACCGGTTTCTGTTTGTTTTTTATGCAGCTTTTGTGAGAAGGAGAGTCTTAACCACACGTTGATTAAAGGAAAGATCGTGGTGTGCTACGATATGGATTCCACGACAGTGGAAAGCATAAAACGGGGTGGCGGTGTCGGGATGATACTCGTCAAATCATTTCCCAAGGAAATACTCAGACAGTTCGAAATCCCAGGCACTCAAATTAGTCTTGAACAATCACAACTGTTTCAATCATATCTGTCTACGGATAAGTAAGTAGCCATCTCACCTACGCTTTCACAGAATTTAATTTGGATGAATTCTGAGTGATTTTAAGTCTCAGTTTGGAAGGAGTACAAATGCAAATCTGTAGGGTGTAAAACGTTGTATTTTGTATATATTTATATTTTGTAATTTGTATGTATTTGTATTTATACTTCTTCTAAATTGAGTTTAAAGCTCTGTTTGAAAAGAATACAAATACAAATATGTAGAGTACTGCAAAATCTTAATTTTTGTATTATTTTATATGTATTTATATTTGTATTCTTTTTAAACTAAGCGTTAAACTCTATTTGGGAAGAGTGCAAAAGTAAATATATATAATGTAAAACCTTATAAATGGTATTTATAAATCTTAATTTTCAACAGAGTATGGGACAAAGTTGGAGCTGTGCTTTAAGTGCATATTTTGAAAATTCAAGTACAGTGAAGGGAAATCGGATCTTGCCCCACACACCTTCCACATGAACATCTCAGCGTGCATTAAAAACATCTCCCCAAATTGTCAGTGAGAGATGTTCTCAATACACAATTGGAATATGCTGAGGGGCACAGATGTGAATTCCAGTAAAGGTATTTTGTCTTTTAATTATTTCCTTAATCGTAATTTTGAAAATCAGAGGACATATTTTAATTAATTAATCCTTTTTCTTTTAATTGAATCTAAAAAAAGAAATAGCCTGCCCCCAAACCCATAACCCCTCATCCCCCAACCACCCTGACAGCAGCAATTGATCCAAGTGGCAAGTATCTGCTGCCAGTTCAGATCTCCTATACACAATAACCTTATCCACACCTAGCCACGGGATATTATAGCCACACATCAGTCTCCCCATGAGTGGCAACAACAAACAAGTATGAAAAATGTTCCCGATGTGCAGTTATAGTGTCTTATGGGTGGTCATGGATATATAGGAGATCCGACCACCTATGCTACGACCAGCTGGGTGGCATCCTACCATGAAGCTAGTCATGCACGCATCCCAACTTAATGCATCTTTATTTTGGTTACAGGAAACCAATTGCGAAAATCTCTCGTACAGTAACAGTTCTGAAAACAAGGCCAGCACCAGTGGTAGCTTCGTTTTCTTCGAAGGGACCAAATAAAATAGCGCCTAGCATAATTAAAGTAAGTTTGCTTTCAAGTCAATGGCACATTTTTTGTTAAAAGTGCATTAACGCTGTAATTTGCACCTCATACCGTAAACAGGGATGTAACTGCTGCATCGGTTTAAGCAGTAAAACCCACATTAACCCAGCGTAAGTGAGTTAGGGTGGAGTCAACCTTGATAGGGTTTTAGGGCTGCCGAGGTCCATCTGCATTCTGTATGGGCTCAGGCGGGCTGGGCATGGGAAGAAAAACGAGGTTACTTGTGTTAGGTTAGGGTTACATATGGTTGGATTGGTCTCACTCTCAGGTTGAGGGTAGGGTTAGGGTTGACCCTTACCTCGGGTTGGGCCCTGGTTCATCTCAACCAGACACAACTAAGCCCAAGTTGCACCCCTAGGCCTTGTTTATAATAACTACTTCATAGGTTGTATAGCCAACGAAAGAAAAAATGCAAATTCATCAGAGAGGGTTTTTTGTTTATTCGTAATGCAGTGGCTATTTTGCCTCCCTTCGTTTTGAGACAAGTATCCACTTTCAGAAACAAAGGAGGGTTTATCTTCGGAAATCATTTCCACGAAAAAAGTATCTGCAAAGAACAATAATCACATTGATGCTATTGATCAATTGGAAAAATGCTGATCGTTAGTTATCTAAACACTACAATTAATGTCACTTTATTAATTATTTTGTAATTTTAATTGAATTTGTTCTCTTAGAATCAAAATATATCTGCAAAATATTTTGTAATGTTGCAGCCAGATATTACAGCACCAGGAGTAAATATATTGGCAGCTTGGTCTCCTGTGGCAACTGCTGAAACAGCTGGGCGACCTGTTGACTACAATATAATCTCAGGGACCTCCATGGCCTGCCCACATGTCTCAGCTATTGCTGCTATCATCAAATCTGTCCACCCTTCTTGGAGTCCAGCTGCCATACAATCTGCAATCATGACAACAGGTAATAATTAAACCCCTTTTCTCATATATCAAAAGATTTTAAATCCCAATTAATTAAACTTAAATTCATTTAAGCCTCATACTACACTGGCAGCATAATTTTGAGAATGTCTCAATTCTTCTGTTGGGGTTTATTATATATAACTAATTTGGAGTAAAATATGGAAATTTTCAGAAGTTGGTTACAAACTTACAGTCCTTAAAATTTAAAATTTCATGTGTCAATGGATTAAAAAGTAATTAGGTATTGATAGTTATTTGAATTCTAAAGAACCAAGGAGAGGGAGTGGAGATTATCTTACCCGGTTAAAGGGAGTTGTTGTATATGTTAGGTCGGCACAGTTGACATCAAAACTTTTGCCAAACTCTTTTGAATGTGGATATGGGTCATCTTTTCATGTGCATAGTAAACTCTTCCTTATAAGTAACATATGCATTATGCTCCAATTCGAGTGCAAAATTGAGCAAGAGTAAGCCACAACATTCCTCAAAAGTGATGCGCCACAACATTGCTCAGTTGTTGTGAGAAATATGTAAGAGTTCATCATTTTGGATGATTATGGGTAAAGAGGCCAATAAAATATATGAATTTGATTTACTATCTTAAATATGGTATAATGGTATAGAATTAACTTACACAATGAAAGGAAGGGTTGATATTATATGTTTACAAAGAAAAATGGAGAAAAGCTTAAAAAAAAATATCTTTATACTATGTGGTACATCGGAAAAGTAAATAATAGAAATAGARTAGCAATCATAGTATACAAAGATTTAAAAAATGAATTTGTAATTTGTAAATGTTAGAAAGTTAGGAATGGAACAATTTTATTTAAACAAGTCTTAGTTAAGAAAATTATTAATATAATTTGTAAGACAAGAATATATACCATCTAGGCTAGAAGAAGGAAAAAAATATATATCAAATGGTTGTAAGGTGAACATGTTGTATAAGTAGAGTGATATATAACTTGTAAACAGAGCATCTAAAACATGAGTAGTAGAAATATGAATGTTGAGATGGATGGAGAAAAGTAGGAGGGATAACATGATAAGTTTAGAAATCAACTTATTTAAAGTATCCTAAGGGTAGCTCCAATGGGTGATAAAACCAAGATGGTTTGATTATATACAAAATACATCTCTCTCTCTATATATATGAGGTAGTGATTTACCACAGTCAGACCAAAAGGATAGGATGGGACAGAATGATTTTGGTTGGATGGAAAATGATAAGATGGAACAGAATGATAAAGGAAAACCAAGCACAAAAATTTAATATTTTATTGTTTTGTTACAAATGAGAAAATAATGGAACATCAGCCCCAATAATAAAAAAAAAAAAGTAATTTTCTCTTCCCTTCCCACAAACTAAAAGATCATGATTTCAAAAAACAAAATGCAATGGTAGAGAATAAGATTCATGTAACCAGTATCATATATTGTTGCATCAGGGCCGGCTTAGATATCGTTTTACATTTCCAAACATGAAATGTTGTTATTTGAGATTGTTCAGATTATGGTTTTCAAAAATGGATCGGATAAGACGGTCCGATCAGAAAAACTGAYAATCGGTTGGGTGATTGGTTYCATTTTTCCCCAAAACCAGATTTTTATCAAAAAAAGGTTGATTTGGTCAGCAAACAGCTGACCTGGATGGTTGAACCATTGTTCAATGGTTTTGATCTTTTTTATTTTTTATTTTTAATTTTTTGTGAGAATGGACCAATCGTTCGGTTCGAATGGACGGACCATTCAACCCGAAAGCTGAACCCCTGATCGATTCATTGTCCGGATCGATTTTAAAAACCTTGGTTCAGACTAAGTAATATAATCATAATAAAATATATTAACAGTTTCCATTTTCCCAATATTTATTTTATTATAACTGCGTATTAGTATTCTTTTAATATTTAGAATGTTTATTTTGCTCTTGCAGAATTTATATATATTTTAATATCAATTACTGCCGTATGCTGTTTTAACGCAATTAGTTTTGGTCGTTTTTAACAAAGTTTTCTATTGCTTTAATTGGTGCATACAGCTACGGTACTTGACAATACTCAAAAACCCATGTTAAGCAGCCTAAAGGAATCTGTGTCAACGCCTTTTGACTTTGGATCTGGACACGTTAATCCAATTGCAGCACTTGATCCCGGGCTAGTTTATGATTTTGATTCCAACGATGCTTACGATTTTATCTGCAGTAACAATGCCACACTTGGAGAGCGGTTGGGGTTGACAGGGAAGGCTGTTCCTTGTAAAACCCCACCAATCCCAATCTACAATCTCAATTATCCTTCAATTGGTGTAACAAACATGACGGGAAGCCTCTCTGTAAATCGAACAGTCACTTACTACGGTGAAGGCCCAACTGTTTATGTTGCATCTGTAAAGCAGCCAATGGGCGTGAACGTTATGATCCGTCCTAATAAGATCAGATTCAGCAAAGTTGGTGAGAAGAAGTCTTTCATGGTAGAATTCAAGCCCTACAAGGATACTAATGGCAGCTTTGTGTTTGGGGAGTTGATATGGAGCAACTTAAACGGACTCCATAGGGTTAGGAGTCCCATTGCACTTCATGTGCTCTCAGTCTAGCTGCCTATATATAGCCTATGGCTAGCTGCTTGTACATAATACTTAATTTAAGCTATGTGTAGTGTACGTATTCCATCTCCAAATTCATATTATGTACCAGTAAAGCACATGTGCTATATGTTTCGTTTAGTAATAAGAGGTCTTTTGGATCTCATCTGGGGTGGTGCTTGTACCATTTTGCCTCTCCATTGAGATGGCTAGAAGCTAGCTATGGGGACACGCTCCTCAGTTTCTTCTGAAATTCAAAAACAACTGCGTCGCTTTGCTCTACAGATCTAACTGGTTGGGTTTTCTGTCTTCACAACCATTTCAAGGTAAAACAATGGTCAGGTCATGGACAATCTTCATCAATCAATAAATTGATTAAAAATAGGGTTGCTCATGTGTAATTGGTGTTTTAAAACCCGGCCCGGAGGAATTGAACAGTTTCCTCCTTCGGCTCAATGTATTAGCATTTCAGCATTTCAACTAGGGGTGAGTAAATGGGCAGGTTTTACCCGAAATCAAATGGAACTGGCTTTGAATGGATCCTTTCCAATTTGTTACAGGGTAGGGTCTGGTCCCAAATTCTTGGAACCGGCCCCCACCCAGGCCAGTTCTAGGGTCTAAGGGTTTATCCTACCCAAACTGACCTGATGAACTGGCCTTGGTTGGCTTTGGTGGAACCAGACTTCGAACAGAAATTGCCTTGAAATAAACCCTAAAATACTTTTGATGATGTAAAGATTTAAACTAAAGCACCCATGGTTATAAAAGCTATGTTCTCACTTGACCATTAAATTAGGTGATTTAATTATTTGTTTTCATTTTAATATTTGAATGTGTATAAAAGTTAATATTTAAGTTTTGAACAATATATTAATATATCATGATAATCTACATATTAAATTACTCAATTTTATCAATAAACATAAAGTAAGTTTTACATTATATATTATATTTATTGAAAGTCAAATTTTTAAAATAATATGCTTCATTTTTTTTTTTTTTGAAGAGAGATGGTAAAGAAAGAACAGATTTCACAGGTAGACACTAGAACCGACCCTGGAACCAACCTTCACGAAGGTAGGTTCCAGTTCCAAAAATTTAGGGTAGGTTCTAGGTTCTGCCATGGAACCGAACTTAACCAACCCATGCTCACCCCTAGTTTCAATCGTTCAGGACAATGTGTCATTGATATAAAATGATTTAAAAATTAAATAATAAAAAATGCCCGGTGAGCTACTAAATGAAATAAAGTAAAATAAATGAAAAAAAAAATAAAACAATACCTGAATCAAATTCTGAAATGGAATTTGCACTTCCATCTATTTGTGCTAGTACATAAAAGACTCATTTCTTTTACATTTAATTGCTTTCTCTAACATAACCCTTTTTATGGTACTTTAGTCAAGATGAATATTGTTTGCACCGGTCAAACAATCCATAGGAGCGATGTTGAGATATATGACCCTCTCAAATCCATCACCAAATTTAAGAACCTTTCTCTGTTGAATAAAAAACTCCAAAGCCCACAAATAATATAAATCACCTCCATTAATACTTTTCTAAAATCAGAAGAATATAAATATATGTATGGTTTCTATGCATTCTATATTTGGATTAATTGCAGGTAGGACAAGTCACAGGAAAAAGCACAACAGTATCAGACAGATCTCGCATGGTGAAAGATAAAAGCTTGGAGTTGGAAAGATGAGAAGAAAATTCGCCAAATGTGTCTGTTTTTCACCTATTTTTATTTTTTTTTCTTTTGAAAGAAAAAAAAAATACTTTTATTTAATTGAAGGTTTCACTATTTCGGTCAGTTGCAGGTTTAATACAACTCAGCAATCCTTGATGTGTCAAAATATTACTGGACACGAAGAGAAAATCTCTTCTGAGTCCAAACACACCGGATCTGGACCGGTTTAAAAGGGATAATTTCAACATTAAAAAAAATATATATATTTTCTCTCTATGGACTATTAGTAGACCTGTTCATGGGCCGGGTAGCCCAATGGCCCAGCCCGACTCGGTCCACACCCTGGTCGGGCTTGGTCATGTAATTAGGCCTGCGGGCCTGACCTCAGGCCGGGCTCGGGATTTGTCAAAAAGGCCCAGCCCAGCCCAATTCAACATTATATATTTTATAAAATACATTATATGTATTTTATATATAATATAAAATATATAAATAATATAATATTTATTAAAATATATATATTTATAATTTAATATATACATTTTTTTATTTTTTTTTTATAATTTCTCTCTCACTCTCTCTATTCAGCCACTTCAGTAGTAGTAACAATACAGGCTAAATTTCGGGCTTAGACCCAGGCCCGGGCTCGGGCCCAAGTTGTAGGCCCGATGGTTGGACCGGGCTTGAGCTCGAGCCTTAGAAAAATCTATTAATACAGAGTGAAAGCCCAGCCCGAGCCTGGCCTGGTCCGGCCCATGAACAGTCTAACTATTAGATTGATCAACGGTTTGAGACTAAATTAACAATTTTTGAAAGTTTTAGATACTGCAGTGACACCTTTTCAAAGTTTAAGTATTAACTTGACACTACCTTAAAGTTTAAGATACTAAAGTAAAATTTTCTTTAAAATAAAACACATAAATATGAAAATATTCTTAATACCGGATTGTTAAATGTAAAGGCTATTCAAACGGGCGTTCCAATGGATCTTGCAATCACTCTCTCTATTCTTTCTCCCCCATAGCGCTTAGTGAAAACAGTTCAAAGTCAAATATAAAATCTAATGTTATTCAATCCAAGGTAGTGTATGAACTGAAAAGAGCAAATAGATAGTTTCTTATTGGCAAGGCAGGGTTGAGCTACAAAGATGAAGCTGTGTTTCAAGACCTATGGTCAAGGAAAAATAAATCAGAAGCCCAAAAAATTATCTCCGAATAAATACTCCAATGCTCAAGTCAATAGAGAATGATAGACGGTCGGGTCGAACGGATATGGGCAAAAAGATTTATGAGCCAAAACCCGAGTCATATCGTCTCGTTAATGCCTTATATAGCGACAAAAAGGGATGATGATGCACGTGCTTACTTACGTGCAAATGCGTTGTCAACTTCATGAACCTCCTGAACTTTCAATGAGTTCTGTCGGTCGATTAGTCGGTGACTTAACCCCAGAAATCTGTGGCGATCTCTCCGGTTTCCGGGCTCTTGTCAATCCGGGCACAAGTTTCTTCCGCTCATCCACTCTGGTACAAGGACACCATAACCGGATCCGGATCCATATGACTAAAAAAGTAGCCCAGAATTCTAGAAAGAAGAAGGCGAGGTCCGGTAGTCAGGTCATTGAATTGAAAGCAGCTCCGTGGACCAACGGATCCCGGGCGACGTGATTGAAATTAAACAATCAAGGGGGCTTTCTAGTTTCTACTTTCTACGATGGAGATGGATGAAGAATTAAAGGTCTTTGACCAAACTGACTCCTCTTTCTCCCTTGAAACTTCAAAATGGGCTGCTTATGGATCGGATGATCCGAGTACAGTTTTTGAGTATCATGAGAATCACTTTCGCCCAATTTCTGAGGAAACGTTTGCAAGGACCATGTGCTAACAATTTACTATATGAGGCGTACGTTTACATTCGGATTCCAATTCGAATCGATTTGGATATTGAACAGTATAAAAAAGAATTAAACAAAATGATCAAACTATATAATTATTAACAAAATGGGTCAAAATTGACGTTGATATCAAAAGGGCTTTAAAATAAAGAAAAAACTAAAAAAACACACAACATTCAAACCAATTTTTACTAGTGGAAAAAATATAAATTTCAAATGTTTATATATAACATATACATTTAAATCAAATCGAGTCAGGAACCATATTCGTTTCCGGATCCAATTGAAATCACCGTTTAACCAAATTCAGATAAATGGATACCGTTTGCAGTCCAATTGGATAAGTGTTAGCGGATTCGTTACTATAAATTTATATTTATTTACTTCTTAAAAGAAATAAAATAGTAACTTTGGTTGAGGAAGTGCTTACTCTATTCTATTATATATTAGGGCTTTTCTTAGTTTATACATTTCCTTTGCATGTTTCCCACCTAATCTCTTCTATTCTTTTGTATTTATTTTTTTCTGACGACAGAGCTCTCCTTTTTTTTTTGATAATAATAAGATTACTTTTTTTATTAACAATGATAAGATAATGTCAGAGCTTTAGTGTTTAAATAAAGTATTTTTAAGCTTAAAAAAAGAATTTTTTGGTAAAAATAAAATAAAATAAATAAATGATTTCAATGGGCTAGATCACCATCGGTTTTAACCCGACCAATTCACCTACTGAAGTGGAGATTGAATCGCCTTCCAAAAAAACGTCCACTTTCAGTGACCACACATCAGATTGACTTCTTGATCAAAATAAGACCATGTGATGTTTGGTATGCTTCTATCAGTTTTGCCCCAAAATATTATAGGAGAGGTTGTGTTCTATTCCTTTTGTTGGGAGTTAGGTGAGGGGGCATCTGCAATGTTAGAGCTGAAGTTCTTGTTGTTTATATTTAGGTTTTGTTCGTTTTTTGGTAAGTTATTTATCCGTGTAAATGCAGTTACCTGAATAAGTTTTTCCTTACAAATATTTATTCAGGTAAATGCATTTATCCATGTTCTTTTATTTCTCATGTAAACAAGGCAATGACCATTTTAGCTATAAAAATTCATTATTAAAAAGGCATTTTTGTCTCATTCAAGTGTTGGCAACTTTCCTCTTACGCGAGAAAGTTATTTACCCACCTAGGAGATGGGTATACTAAAACTAAACTTTCCCTGGTCCCCACATAAATCTGAAAAAAGAACATAAGATTCTTGGTCAATGGGAAACAAAATCCCATTGACCAACTTTCCCCCTCTCAAAATCCGAAAAAAGAACGCCCCCTTAAAGAAAGAAGGGAGTCTTAATTGGTTTGCGACGATTGAAGGAGTGGAACTCAATGCCATTGATAAGCATGTGTTGTAGAGAATTGCTAGTGGGAGGGATCTGGATTGGTTTGTTAAAAGATATGTTTGGCAGAACTCTATTTAGGCCGGTGTTTAGAAAACTAGACTTGACTATCTAGTCGGACCAATTGAACCATGACCTAGATCCCTAGCCATTTTAATTATACTCTAAAGTAAAAAATTCATAGAAGAGTTGTCAAATGCCTCAAAACCATCTAAGTGGCCAATTTAACCAGAGAACTGGTCTCAATTTCACAAAACCATACAAGTCATTAGATAATGGAAATTTCAAAATGTTTATAACAAAACTTGAACGTATGATCTAATTACAATTAACCTATTTCTTTATTTATATTAATTAATAACATCTTATATGCATTACTTTATTATACACATATTTTAAAGAAAATGCAAGTTAAGAGGTTTAACTATGCCATTTCATCTTAAGCCTCGTTTGATAACACTTTTCAGAGGTCTGGTGTTTGAAAAACTTGCTTTTCAGACACCAGACTCGTTTGGTATTACGTCTGAAAGTCGATCTGAAATCCTTTTTCAGATCTGAAATTTTAAGTTAATAGCCTACCACTTATATGTTCAAATTTAATTGAGAGGTGCATAATAGACATAAATGCCCTTAAAAAAATTTAATATTACATGTTTTTGTTCTTCATTTAACTTGAATTGAACCTTCATTGCGACTTACGAAACTCCACCGCAGGTCCGCCACCACCCCCTGTCTTCCCGTCACCACCACTGTAGTTGTGGCGGTTCCGCCGCTCTCTCTCACTCTCACTCTCTCTCTCTCTCTCTCTCTCTCTCTCTCCCTCCTATCTTCTTGCCACCACCACCGCCCTTGCAAGTTGCAGCGGTGATGGTTCCACCGCTCTCTCTCTCTCTATCTCTCTCTCTCTCTTTCTCTCTCTCTCTCTCCCTCCTATCTTCTCGCCACCACCACCGCCGTTGCAAGTTGCAGCGGTGATGGTTCCACCGCTCTCACTCTCTCTCTCTCCTATCTTCTCGCCACCGCCACCACCGCTGTAACTTGTAGCAGTGGTTCGGTGAGTAGAAATAATAATATTATTATTAATTATAAATTTGAATTCATTCTTAGGTTGTTTGGAGTTACCTTTATACTAGATCCTTGGCGTGCCTCATGTTTGTTAAAATGTCCAAATGTGGCTCGATGGCATTCAGAGGTACTTTGGGGGATTTATTTTAAGTTATTCAATGTGGTATTGTTAATGCCACAAGAATGGGCAAAGTTGGATTAGAGGTGGATCCCTTTCCTATGAGGTGTGTGTATGGGAAGAGGTTGCCTCCTTATCCATCTTCTAGACTCCCAGGGATAGAGGTGCCTGGTTCCTTAACCCAATCCGACTTTCTCTTCTAGATCAACTTGGAACTGCATTTGGGAGAATCAGCACCCATGGGGCCCTACCTTGAATAATTTGGTTTCCTAGAAATATCACTAAAGGTTTTGTGTTTTCTTAAGGCCTTCCCACATTTGTCATTCTTTATTATTTTAAGGACGTATCTCCTTTTTGAGGTTAAAATTTGGATCAGTGTTCATAAAAGCATTTTAAYTGAAAAAAAGGAGATAAGTCCATAAAATAAGGATTTGGCAGCATTAGTCAAGGAGATCAAAGCCATTCAAAAAGGCTATGTTACAAGACTTGTGCTGCAGTCCGATTCCTTCTTAGTGGTGAACTACCTAAATGGCTTGATTCCAGTTCCTTGGAAAATTTGGTGGCATGTTTTAGAGATGAAGGCTTTAAGGCCTTTTTTTTTTATTTTTTATTTTCTTTCCTTCTACCTTTTTAGAGAGTCTAATAGGGTTGCTGATTTTTTTTTTTTTTTTGGTCTAATAAGTGTTGTAATGATGTAACTAAGTTATACTTGCTAGGTCCATTTGATTTGTGGGAATAGGGCTTTAAAATCAATTTCAAAATGATCCATTCCAATTCCAACAATTTGATTGAGCAGAATCAGAATTCAATTTCCATTCCATGGCATCTCTCATTTGAGCTTGGGAATGAGAATTCCATTCCAGCTAATACTGATTCAGATTTGGATTCCCATTTGAACCTAACAGGCGAGAGAGTAGATAATTTTGATTCTGATTTCCAGGGATTTCGATTCCAATTCATATTTTCATTGTAAACTAAACTGAGCCTTAAAGGGTTAAATCCTTCTTTTAGAATTCTACTAGCACGTGGAGAACTGTACGGTTCATATAATATGAAGTAAACCCCAGCCTCTGACTTGGACCCGGTGTCATAACTTATAATGCCAATGCATATCAATAAAGGGGGTTGTTGGTCATTTTCACTTCATCATGAAAACATGAACAGTATTCCACATGCTTTGCATATGCAAAAGAAAAAAAAAAAAAAAAGGCGTCGTAGTAGTTTCTTCGGGTTCGGATCTGGAGTGACGGATGGTGACGTTGGAGATAACGACGAAAAGTTTACGGTGGATAAAGCCGATAAACAAACACACATGACGAAGCTGATTACTGGATCTGTTTGGTTGGTTGGTGGAACATCTCACGTGGCCCAGTCAGCCCAAAACACGTTTCAACTTCTGATTGGATAATACCGTCCTGTACCAACTGAGCGAAAGCCCAACCATTATTTAGGAACGAGTGGGCAAGCAACGACAGCCCATCTTTAGCCTCGCCGTCCTGTCGCAAATAAACATACCAAGCCAAAACCATACGCAATAAAACTATAAAAAGCAGAGTTTCACCTTGAAACAACAACTCTCTCTCCGGTCTCTCCTTCTCTTTCTGCCTGTTATTCTCTGCGAAACCCTAATTTTTGCTTCTGTTTTTGGTGGGTTTTCATTATCTTGGAAGGTAATGGAGTTTGTGAATTCGAATTCCCACGCTGAAGTAGACATGAGGCCCTCTTTGTGCACCAAGCCCGAGAAGATCATCATAGATACTGATCCTGGCATAGGTAATTAATTGTCAAACTTGTTTACTTTTCACTCTTATCTTTTAATTACAAGTTTTCGTTGGCTTTGTTGGGAACTTTAGTTCAATATACATAGTTTCTGTCTTCCCCTTTGCTCGATTTCTATATGTTTTGTTCTGCTTTTCAACTTTTGAAGATTCAATTTCCAAACTTTAGTAGTTTTCATGGGCCCGCTTAAAGTTACTTGGGAGTAGAAACTGTTTTTTTTTTTTTTTTTCGTTTCTTGATAAGAACTCTTTCTGCTTACCATGAGGAATCGATTCGAAACATGACTGATTGGAAATACAAGTTAAGCAGTTGCTTTTATGTTTGATATGCTTGTGTATGTGTGGAATCTGATGAGGATGTCATCCCTTTTCAGACGATAGTATGGCCATCTTCATGGCATTTCAATCACCCGAGCTGGAAGTTATAGGTTTGACAGCAATATTCGGTAACGTTACCACGGAGGACGCTACTCGCAATGCATTACTTCTGGTATGTATGTACTTTTACTTCAATTCCCTTATTTTTGATTGACAATTTTGTAGTGTTTTAGGAACAGTTTCATGATTAGTTACCGTTTTTAATGTGTAAAAAAAGGATAGTGTGAGATCGCAGGACGGACTGATGTTCCTGTTGCAGAGGGTAGCCCTGAACCTCTAAAGGTACAAACTGCTTACCAATGTATGAATTCTGTACTTGAAGCTTCATATTTTCTTAGATTACTGATTACATCAGAATTCTTCACCAAAACTTGAATTACAGTTGTTGGCATTATTTCCTTTTGAGGCATCCTGCATGCCTAATCTGTTCCTTGTGAAAATTAGAAAACTTCGCGGTTCCATGAATTTTTTTATTCCTGATTGGTGGTTTCATGTATTGTTTCTAGTATCGTCTCAGTTCTAAATTTGTCTACCCGGTTGATTTCCCTAAAACGAAGATGATCACAAGTTAGAAATGCATTTTTTTATTACACAATTGGCCCAATGTGAGATGCTTTTTGCTTTTTGTCTCATTGTCATTGCAGAACAGATCACAAGTATAAACTATCAAAACATGCAAGAGAAAAAAGCTTTATCTGTATAGGCAGAAGATCATCATACAGACATATGTACAAGTGAAACAAAATTAGGGACCTAAAGCTTTAGAATATAATATTTTTGGAAGCAACTCTTACCAAATGCTCAAAACACTTTTTTGTCTCAATTTTGTTTTCCACAGCCCAAAGCTCAAAAGCAAAAGCTTATCCAAACAGAATCCTATTTTGATGTGCTTGTGAGCCCACCAAAAATGAATCCTCTGTCTTGAAATCATTGTACAAATATATTTATAGGAAAACCAAGAATAGAGCCTAAGATCTAAGAAGGATTGTTGAATGTATACTTTCTACACGTGAATAGTACATGCCTTTATGCATATTTTACCATGGTGCACCCACATAATTATCTTGGAACTGTGGCCAGATGATTTTTCACATATTTCTGTATATTAATTCTCTGAATACTAAAATGCCACCACAATATAAGGTACATCTGGATGGACACACATCTCTTTAAATTTCAAATGAATATATGTTTAGTTCAGTTTTGTCAATGTTACCAAATATTTGGTATTTTCGCATGAAAGGTTTTTTTTTTTGTCAAGGTTTAGATTAATTACAATGTTTGTGCTGCATTATTGGAACAGGGAGGGAAGCCACGTGTTTGTGACTTTGCTCATGGTTCTGATGGAATGGGAAATATATATCTACCACCCCCAAAAGAAAACAAAATTGGAAAAAGTGCTTCTGAATTTTTGGTTGATAAGGTTTCTGAATATCCTGGTGAGGTATCCATACTTGCACTAGGACCACTGACAAATCTTGCTTTGGTAAGTGGTATTGCCTTTCGTCTATCATTCCAGTATGACTAATTTTATTTGCCAAATATTGATGTAATATGGGGTGTGTCTGTGCTTTACTGRACTAGGCAATAAAGAGGGATTCGTCCTTTGCAAGCAAGGTGAAGAAAGTGGTGATACTTGGTGGAGCTTTCTTTGCATTGGGAAATGTCAATCCTGCTGCCGAAGCAAATGTAAGCACTAAATTCCCTATTTGTTGAGCAACTTCATTCTCCACTTCTTGCTGTCCCTGAGGTGTAGCACATCTTATTGGACCATAAATTTATTTATATTACATACAATTTGTAAACTCAAAAAGCTTTTTTTGCAATATCAACTTTCTATTAAAAAGGTACCTGTTCTTACTAATTGTATAATGCAAATGAAGTTTGTTCATGACCAATTCATTCAAACAGAGAACAAAGAAAGTCAAAAGGATCATTTGATCCAACTTGGTTTATCAATGACCATTATCTGGAGTTGTCTAAGCAAATGGTTTCCATGAATATAGACCACAAAAGCCTATGCTAAGGTCTTTTTTTTTGTGAAAAGCAGTGTTAGCCTCAAGTGCTACAATACTATAAGACAAAAATCAACTCTTTGCCCCATTTGTTAGAAGGATACGCTGTGGGAAAGAGATACACCCTATCCTTCTCTCAATTTCTGTATTTATTTTAATAAACTAAACTAGATATTGGTTGTTTAGGCAAGGTTCTTTTACTACAGTTACTCTAACAAGTGACTAGGATAAGAAGCAGAGTTTCCACAGTTAACTATGTTGATAATGATAAGAGTGTCAATCCCTTCTGAATTGCAGATCTATGGTGACCCAGAAGCAGCTGATATTGTGTTTACATCTGGGGCAAATATTGTTGTTGTTGGCATAAATATTACAACCCAAGTGAAGCTAACAGGTGCAATTCATACCTTTCACTTCATTATTTATAATTTATACTTCTATGTTATACCTATACTGCTTAATGTTCCATGCTAACCTTATCGTGAAAACTATTTGTTTATTTCAGATGCAGACCTCTCCCAGTTGAGGGATTCAAGAGGAAGATATGCTAAATTATTAAGCAATATGTGCAAATTTTACAGAGATTGGCACGTGAAATCTGATGGTCTCCATGGTATCTTTCCCTTGATAAGCTTAATGATCCTAAAATATTTTATTTTTCTTTTTCTCTGTTGTTCTGCCACCTCAATGGAATAACTCATTCAATTGCTAAATTCAGGTATTTTCCTTCATGATCCTGCAAGTTTTGTGGCACTGATCAAGCCTGATCTCTTTACTTACAAGAAAGGGGTTGTCAGGGTTGAGACACAAGGCATCTGTCTAGGACATACGCTAATGGATCAGGGACTGAAAAGGTATATCCAAGCTAACATAAGCCTCAGCAAAGTTCTAAATTTCTTTTGTTAACACTGTAAAAATGCTTTGTTGCAGATGGAATGCAAGCAACCCATGGACAGGCTACTCCCCTGTTTTGATTGCATGGACTGTTAATGTGGATGAAGTTGTTATGCATGTAAAAGAACTGTTGATGAAACCATGAAGTCTTAGAAGCAGTGATATTCAAGCCCGAAAACTGTAAAAAGAGAAGGCTGGGTCCACTACCATTTGCCAATTCGTCCCATTTGTCATTTCTTTTCTTGCCTTCGGTTGGTCTCTCATGTGAATGGCTGCTAATTTATTCATCAATGTCGCTTAGTTTATGATTCATGTTTACTGTGCAATACATTATTAGATTTTTTTTTTTTTTTTTTTTTGCTGCAAATACGTCATTAGAAAGTTGAGGAGTTTACTGTGGTATTTGGAATTGCTAATTGAATGGAAAAAAATTGATACAAAAACAGCTGCTCCTTGCACACTATTCAGCTAGCAAGGATAAGATAGAAACATCATCACTCTTACACCCATACAAAATATAGTCCGAGACATGGTAGGCTCAATGGGCCCCATTTTTCAGGGTGACAAGGTCTACACTACCCTCCCAAAGGCCATATATTCTTTAGTTCTGATGCTTAACCATCCTCTCTTGATTCCTGAAAGGCTGAAGCCAACTTCCTTTTTCTTTGTATATAAATTAGCGTAGGAATCTTATCAATTTCCTTGTTAGTGTTCAAGTACTCAAAAGGTTGCTTGGTGAAACCTCAAATGGGTCATTAACTCTGTAACATGAACAACAGAAGTAACTATTGTGCTTCTCTTGTGATATGGGTGTCCTTAGGAAAGATGTTTTCTTCTGACTGGGACAACTATATGGTCCTTTCCATCTTTAGAGTAGATGGTTGAGTTGAATCGAACAGGCTCCAGACTGGTCAAGTGGTCACCAATAATCTCCACAAGAGCAAGAACCATCCTTGAAGTGGTGGAAGCGGTTTGAGTCCCTTACTACAATCTCTCTCCCCTCAATCACTGATATTAACTTAATAACAGTGTGACAATCACCGCAAACCCTGAGGTTCTTCACAATCTGGAGAGGAGTTCCAGGCGGTGTACTTATCAACCCAAAGGCAATGGCAAGTCTCTCACTATGCTGAGAAAGAATGGCTTCTTTGTGTTCCTCTTCTAGATCATGAAGTACAAAATTTGTATCTGGGCGATGTCCTGCATTCTTGAGTCGGGTAGTCAGTTCTTCAAGTTTTGCATATATATGATCTGATAAAGGATGCGACCTATCACGGGCCATGAATGAATGAGTCTTATTCTTTAACTCAATCCAGCTATACCCAGCCTCCTTTTTTACTTTTCTCTCATCCATCAATTTCCTAACCTTAGCTCTCTCCTCCCATTGTCCAGCTGCTGCATAAATATTTGATAGAAGCACATAGGCAGCTGAGTCCTGTGGCTCAAGCGCTATGAGATTCTCTGCTGCAACCTTCCCTAGCTCTAAGTTGAGGTAAACACGACATGCACCCAATAAAGTCCGCCACACAGTTGCACCTGCTGGAAATGGCATCCCTTTTATGTGATCCATGGCTTTTTCAAGTTTACCTGCTCGGCTATACAGATCTACCATGCAGGCGTAATGCTCCATTTTTGGAATTATACCATGTTCTTTGACCATCAAATTGAAGTATTTTTCACCTTCATCCACTAGACCAGCATGAGTACAAGCAGAGATGACACCAATTAATGTTATACCATCCAGTTCTAAGCCTTGGTTTTGCATTTCCTCAAAGATCTCAAGAGCTTTTTTCCCATAACCATGTTGTGCGTAGCCTGAGATCATAGAATTCCATGAGACCAAATCTCTCTCCACCTGCCTTCTGAAAACTTTGAGAGCATTTTCAATATTTCCTCTCTTTGCATACATGGTAACAAGGGAACTGCTTACACATATGGCCTTCTCCAAACCAAACTTGATCAAACTCCCATGAAGTTGTTTTCCCTGCTCTGTGGGTGCTGTAGGGCCTGCACATGCATTAACAACACTAGAGAAGGTGAATTCATTTGGCTTCTGTCCATCCTTTTGCATCTTGCAGAAAAGCTTGATGGCTCTATCAGAGTCTCCTGTTTGGGCATATCCTGCAAGCATTGCTGACCATGCCACAATGTCTTTATCATTAATCATTTCAAAAATGGCTGTAGCTTCCTGGATGTTTCCAAGCTTTGTATAGGCATCCAATAGAGCAGTACCCACCGAAGGCAAGTTCTCATAATTGGCTTTGATGACTTGAGCATGTATTTGGAAGGGTGAGACAGCAGGGAAAGCCGCAAGGATTGTTGAATAGGTGAAGTGGTTTGGCCTAACACCTTCCCTGCTCATTTTGCAAAAGAGATCTGCTGCTTGCTTGGTATCTCCATTTTGCAAAAACCCACAGATTATGGCGGTCCATGATACCACGTTGTGAACACCATACATTGTAGAGAATAAATCTAATGCACCAATCATTTCACCACACTTACTATAAGCAACCATAAGTGCTGTTGTAATGTTAAGATCATATCCGAACCCATTCTTTAGAACCCGACAATGGAGTTGTTTTGCAAAAGCCAATTCTTTAATGTTAGCACACAACTTGATAACTGTAACAAAGATCAATTGGGTCAGCTTCACACCTGCTAGTCTCATCCTATAAAAGAGTTGTAATGCTTCCAATTCAAACCCATTCAACACAAACCCCGCAATCATACCATTCCAAGAAACTGCGTCGCGGTTCTTCATATCCTCAAAGACTGCACTAGCATCTCTGATTAGTCCTGACTTGGAATACATATTTATCAAAGAATTACCCACAAACGTTGTTGATTCAAAGCCAAGTTTTATGACCTGGTTATGAACTTGAATACCCTCTTCAACCATGCACTTTGCTGCGGAAGCTGCAAGAACACTGGCAAAAGTGAATGGATTGGGCTTAATTCCCTCGGTTTGCATCTGACAGAAGCGTTCCATGGCAAAGTCAGCCAGCCCGTTCTGTGTATAACCAGCGAGCAATGAAGTCCAGGAGACGACATTTCTCTCCGGCATCTTATCAAAAACCTTCTTTCCATCCTCCACGCCATTAGTTTTCATGTACATATCAACTAGAGAAGTTCCGACGCTAACATCAGCTTCAAGTCCAGATTTCACGCAGTGAGAATGTATTTGCTTACCAAGAATTTGATCGAATAAGCAGCCACAGACCTTCAGAATAGAAGAAAGAGTGGACCCATCAATGTGAACATCGGAGCCGTGCATCTCCAAGAAGAGATTTATCGCTTCTTGATTAAGATTGTTCCGAGAATACTCGAAGAGCAACTTATTACACTCTGAAACGTCTCGTTTCGGAATTCCGTCGAACGATTTACGTGCTTGGTGCAGATTATTTGGCTCATAGTTCCAGTTAAAAGTGTCGGGATTGGAGGCAAGAGCATGGGATTGGCAGACGCGTTGGGTCTGAACTGAAACACGGAGATGGTGGAGGATTTTGAGTCCGTGATCAATTTGAGTTTGTTTCAATTTCCAAACGGGTCTTAGAACCATGGCGTCTCTACTCTCTTACTCTCTTTATGCCGTGGAAAAAAACGGGTGCACCGTCATCATGAATATATGTATTCATGTGGGGTTTTCCACATATAGACCCGACTGGAGTAATTGAGGTCTGCGGATCTATCTTGCCACGTGTTAGCTATTTAAAAGATCAAGTCAAAATCCACAATTTGAACCTTTCTCCTCGTCCAATGCCCCGAAAACGAGATCACATCTCCGCCTCCCAAGGGGCCACTCCACAATGCCCCACAGCACTTCTCCGTCCTGTATTGGGAACATTTCCGTTTTGGTATTATCATTGGAAGATGTTCCCATAGGAATGTGCTATGGGGCATTGTGAGGTGGAGATGTGAATACCCCAAAAATGTGTATTGGGAATGACTAACAAGGTCATACTCTGTACCCCACAAGGGGGAGCCTCACAATGCCCCATTGTCATAGTTTGACACAGATTTAGCTTTTCTTATGCTTGGTAGGTCTTACGTTAAGGGACATTATTGTCATTTTTGCCAATAAGATTATTGAGAAATCTCATGTCATCTTCAAGTAGACCACCAAAAATTTAATGTATTCTTTGAGGAGGGGTGATAGACCTCCTTGTGTGCCTAACCTTGGCACTCCCAGACCAACATCCCTTGCGAGGCGACCTTAATTAATGGCTAGAATGACTATCAGGGTTCCTCATTGCTCATGGGGACAGTGCATGGACTGACATTGCGCCACCGACACTCAAGGGAGGCTTGGCATGCGGGCCTGGCTTAAACATGACCCTTCACCACGCTAGCCCCTTGCCTAAGCTGAATGAGTTATCCCGTTGCCCAGAGCGCACGGGTGTATTCCGGCCCAAGCGGGTGCCTATCATCATTGGCATACAAGAGTCCCTTCTCATTAGCACCCAGTCGCCTCTCATTATGGTCGTCCCCCTTTAGCACGTAAGAGGCGCCTCCCATGGACTGGCCAGAGCTAGTCGAGTGCCCTGGCCATGCGAACTGAGGTCATGATCCAATGCTATTAAACTTGGTGGAGCCATCACATCGGGAAACTCCTAGCCCCAAGCACACCAAGGCTTGTCCTGGCCTACCTTGGCCTAGACGCCACATGGGTTTCTTCCGCTGCAAAATTACCGCTGTGACACCACAGCACATCCCCACCTTGTATATCTCCTCGAGATGTTCCCCAATACAAGTTGGGATGTGGTGTGGGGCATTGTAGGGTGTAGATGTGAACTCATTGGGAACATCTCCCAATGACATAGATTTTGGGATGTGCATGTGGGGTATGTTCTGTCGAAGGTAGATGTGAATTCATATTTTATAGGGCAAATTAGCAGGGACCCGGGCAATGCATGAAAAAATATGAAAATTTTAATAATTTTATTTACTATTAATCAATATTAAATTAATAATCAAAATTTGTTGTTAATTAAGTAATAGTATTTAAAGTTATTGTTAATATCTAAAGTTTTAATAATTGTATTTTTCATTTAATGTTAATTTATAGAAAATAATTATTGTTAATTTAATATGAATAAATATTTTTTAATAAATTTAGTTTTATTAATAATTTACAGTTATTTTTATTATTTTCATTATTTTTAAATGAAATTTTGATTAACTTTAAATAAATAAAAATAATTACAAAATCTAACATATTTATTATTTTTATTAATAATTAACAATTATATAGGAATGACAACGGGATCAGTTCAGGGCAGGGCACCCCATCCCTGTCCCTTCCCCATAGTCAAGACACTCTACTCCATCCCCGCCCCATCCCCAATGTTAGGTGGCTTTAGGGAGAGGCAACCCACTCCTCAATGTCGAGCAAGTTTAGGGGCAAGGCACCCCACTCCTCATTAAGGATGGGGAACCCTCGAATTTCCCTACCTCGTCCCTAGTATTGGGCAGGTTCAAGTAGAGGTGTAAATCGGGTCGTGTTGGGCCAGAATTGCACGACCCGCATTTGGCCCGCACAAAGTGTAGACTGCGTCATGTTGGCCCCATAGGGTGTCCTATGCCATGCCTCCCTCCACTAGGATAATTTGGGGGATCGGTTCAGCACGGGCCCATGCCGTGCCATGGGCCAAGCTAGTCCATGGGCCAACCCTTGGGCCAAGCCAAGTCACGGATCGGGCCAAGCTATGAGAGGTCCATTTAAAAAAAAATGAAAAAGATGTTTATAATAGCATATAAGGGCAACTTTTGGGGTTTAATATCAATAAAAGTAATAATTTTAAAATAAATTCAAAAATAGGTTAACTTTTTAAAAATAATATAAATAAATGGCAAAAACACTGCTCATCATCTTCTTCTTGCCATTTGTTCACTAGCACTACCGTCCGTTGCCGCTCGCTACTGCCTCTACCTTCGGTAATGTTGCTGGAGGTGGCCGTAGGCAGAGGTCTCAGCAGCGGCAGCGCTGGTGGTCATTTCTCTGCCCAACACCGCCCACCTCCACCTTTGCCTTCAGTAACATTGCCGAAGGCAAAGGCAGAGATGGTTGGAGGCAGCGACGGGAGGCGACAGCGGGTAGCGGACAGTGGTGGCGGGCGGCGAATAGCAGTGCTAGTGAACAAAAGGCAAGAAGAAGATGATGAACAATGTTTTTTCCCTTTATTGATATTGTTATTAAAAAGTCAACCCATTTTTGAATTTTTTTAAAATATTACTTTTATTGATATTAATTTACTATTAGGAAATAAAAATTGGTTTATTAATTTACTAAATTATTACTAAATTTATATAATATTAGATTATAAAAGTATAATGAAAATAAGGCATTTTGTGTAGAGATCGAGCATGGGCTCGAGCTTCGGGCTTTATATAAGGGCTGGGCTTAGGCTCAAGATCTAAGACAGATTGTCAAGCTGAACTCAAGCTCAGGCTTGCATATTTTCTATTAATAAAGAGGCCCGTGTTAATTATAAAATTTTGATTTTTTATAAATTAAAATTTTTATTTAATTCTAGTCTATATAAAAAAATATCTAACATTTCTATATATTAATGTAAAATTTGTTATTTAAATATTATATAATAATATTTATCATATATGCGTATACCATATAACTTCCAAGTTGATCTTATTAGGGGTTGTTTAGCTTGGGCCCTATCTACAAAAGCCATCGTTGGACTCCAAACGTTTGATACCCAATTAGACTCCGAATTTAATTATCCTTGATAATGTGTGGGCATGGTGCACATATATCAAGTAGACCTTTGAATTAGGTTAAGTTATAAACAACTTGTTACTTTTTATTAATTATTAAAATATTGTAATTATTAATTTACTATATTTATTTAAAATATAGTAATTTCTGAAAAATATCATATTTTTAGAAATATTGCTAATTTCTTGGCTAAAACTAATTAAATGTAATTTTTTGGTAATTAAATGTAACTTTCTACTATTTATAGTTTAAATTAAAATTACTATTAATTACAGTTTAAAAATAATTATTGTTAATAATTAAAATGCTCTGATAAGGGCTACTTTTGGGCCTTAATATCAATAAAAACAATCCTTTTAATATAATTTCTAAAATAGGTTAACTTTTTTAAAAATATATCAAATAAAGGCAAAAAACACTATTCATCTTCTTTCTCTCCAAACCACCGAATAAATTTCTCTCAACTAGTTCTAAATCGAGACCCTATCCACTTCAATCCTCTCATTTCCCCTGAATTTCCACTTCAACTGCTTAATTTGCAATGCCCTTTTCCAATCGACACTAAAACAAAGCTTGGGTTCGTCGCCACTCACACTGCAATTGCCGACAACACTTGGTTGGGATTCCTTGTTTTGGTTCTGTTGTATGCTTCCCTTTGAGAATCGTTGACAAGAAGGGCAATTACACCGTCAATGACGACAGCGACGTAGAACCCAAATTGGGTTCGAGGCTGGAGGCAACGAACTTGGCTCTAGTGAGATCCCAGTAGATTTCAACCTTTTTCTTCGTCGGATTGGCATTGCCAAAGGTGGGCAGAGCGGTGACGACACTAGTGGATGGTGGTCATTGAGGTTCGCAGGGCTAAGGCGAAGATGGGAAAGAGCCAAAGGAAGATGATGAACATTGTTTTTTTCCGTATTTGAAATATTTTTAAAAAAGTTAACATATTTTAGAAATTATGTTAAAAGGATTACTTTTATTGATATTAGGGCCCAAAAATTTCCCATATTAGCTATAATCCCTTATTTTTTTCATTATTATTCAGTATTTTTTGCAATAAAATACAATTAATTTATTTTTTTAATTATTTTTATTATTTTAATTAAGCTTTAGGTTTTTCATAATTCTTATATTCTTAATTAATTTTTGGTGTTTTTTCATTATTATTCAGTCACTTTTGCATATGAGTATTTTTAATAATTTTCAGTTTTTTCAGCATTTACTTTTGCATATTAGTCACTACAAAATTAATTTGCATTTGCTTTCAGTAAAAGTAAATTAAACAACCAAATAAATGCCATAGTTAATAAAAAATATAGCTAATTTTCAATAATTTTTGGCTTGGGTATTTTTTTAATAATAAAATACTATTAATTGTACTTTTTAATTATTTTTTGTAAATACCCTTATTAGTATAAAATATTATTAATTTTCAATATTTTTTAATTATTTTTAGTATTTTAATTAGGTTTAGGTTTTTTAGAATTTTTTATATTTTTAATTAATTATTGGTATTTTTTCATTATTATTCAATAATTTTTGCATATGAGTAATTTTTGCAATAAAATAGTATTAATAAAATGGGTTCTATATTTTAAATTTTCATCAATTTTATCATTTTTAATGAGTTCTTTATGCACAATAAAAGTCTCAACTCATAAAAATTATTAATCAATTAAAAGTTCATCAATACAAAGTTATCTAATAATATTATTAAAACTATCAATTAATATTTTTATATTTAAATTTATTATTTTTGATTAATTATTGTTATCTTTTCATTATTATTCAGTAATTTTTTTAATAAAATGGGTTCTACACTTTAAATTTTCATTAATTTTTATCATTTTTAATGAGTTTATTATGCCCAATGAAGGTCTCAACAAGTTATCTAATAATATTATTAAAAGTTTAAAACTACCAATTAATATTTTTATATTTAAATTTCTTATTTTTATTAGCATTTATTAAGTTTGATTTTTAAGTAGAACTAAAGCACATTTTTAATATTTACTAAGTTTTGTTAATATTTATTTTTAGTGAAAGTTTAATGGATTTT